CCATTCGCAGGGCCGCCGCTACTCCTCGCGTTCATCCAACGCGTCCTATCGTAAACTAACCACACAGCTTTTCGCACCGCAAAATTCCACCAACGTGCAAATCGTGCAACCGATTCTACGACTCTGACATGTTATTTCTCCCGCGTTATATATAAATCGGACGGATAAATTTATCGTATATATACCGGCGAACTCGCGATCCGATCCTGCTAGTTTTCCAGGAGACGAGTCATCGTCCGTCCTTCGTGGATGTTGCGCTATCGGTGACACGCGCGTCTCGCTGGTTTCCTTCTTCTCCGATCCTCTTTGTGCCTCGGCTGCCCGACTCGGGACGAGGGGACAGAGGCCCCGTCCTACGGACCTTCGTTCGTCGCGGTATGTAAATACGTGGAACGAGAAGGCTCCTCATCTCGGACGACCGACCGCGGTGCATCGTATCGTATTCTGCCGCCATTTGTCTTCGCGATCCGGGATTACGTTACCACGATGATACACGATGACATTTATTTTGGGATTTGTACGGGGTCGCCGTGGCCCTTCTCTCCGCGCCATGGATCCTACGCGAGCGCGTCTTTCGTCGGGCTGCCTACGCGTCTGTCCCCGTAATGACCGTGGAATGCTCCGAAAACTCGAGTTTCGTCGCCATGCTGAACTGGACCGCTCGAAATAATTAGGGGGGCTCGCGTGGCCAAAGGGAAAGACCGGTGACTCGCGAGAGGTATTCGGGTTATCGTCGCTGTACCCTACACTCTCGTGGATCACGCTGCCTCTTCGCGAGGCCTCTTGGGTAAACACCGAACGACGTTACGTGGATGGAGCAGAGAGATTCGAGATCGGACAATCGCGTGAAAATTGTGTAAACGCAGATGCCGGTAAGGAGCCGCCACCCCAGCGGCGAGATACGGGATAAAAAGGGGAGCAGCGCGTGGCAAAGATCAAACAGCTGGATCATCTCGTGCGTGCGTGCCTTTAGGTAAGGATCTCTTTTTCTTGCGGAAAAGGTGGGTACACGTTCGACCCAGGTGCTGCAACCTCGGGAACCTTGGAAGGCGTGCGTGACAATGCGCGTGTATACGCGCGCGCGTGATTCGTCGTGACGCGAAAGTCGTTCGAACGGTGAAAAGGGGGAGGAAAAGGGAAAAGGAGAAAAACCTAAACGCGGTTTCCCTTGCCACCGGAATCTCGTCGTCTCGTGTCGTCTCGTCTCGACTCGACTCGTCTCTCTCGATCGCGACAATCGGCTACGTCAGAGGCGAGTTACGCGAACGTTGCCGACGATGGCAAAGAAATCGGGAAAGAAGCAAACGATTCCGCGAACGACGCGCCTATGCGGAATACCTCGTACACGCGCCAGTATCGCGCCTTGTAATTATCGCTATGGCGGATTTTCATGGATGAACCGGCGCGAGCATACGTGGGTAGGTTCCGCGACGGAATAGGTACGACAGGGATGGGCTCGAAAGCGCGAGTTTCCTAGGAGGCGTCGCACGATCCTGACTTATTAAGGTTAATGACGCAGGATCGCGTAATTATTCTAATATAAGCGGTAATTCGTCCGTCCCGAACCGATAAATCCGTTCTAATTACATCGAACGTGGTCGCGGGTTTTGGTGGACGTTTTTACCAAATTACACGTCTCGCACGGCTGAACGCGCAACGAGGAGATCAGGATTGATCGATCGAATCGGCTCTCGGGTCATCGTACAATTTTATTAATCGGAGCCTACCTTCCTTTTCTCGTTTAATTAATAAAACTGGGTCCACCCATCCGGTAACAGAGGCGTCGCGCGCCCATTAATACAGAAACGCGTGGTTAATACGTCGCAAATAGTCCCCGCGTGTAACGCTTAAAAGGAAGTAGACGAGCGTTGAATATTATTCATGGCACACGAGTTCCTAAAATAAATCGACTCGAGTATTCTGCACTTTACGGTCCTCCGTGCGGTATCGGGCCGTCGCCTCGTCTTCGGCTCTTCCGTTAAGGAAGAACAGAGGAAAAGAAAAAAAAAAAAAAAAAA